TGGCCGGCTTTCCCCGGGGCCCCTGGACAGTGACTGGATCAAAGACCGCTGATCCAGCGGCAGCAGGCCCGGCCTCCTCGGCAAACCACTCGCACCCTCACCCAGCTGTCCTGCTTTTCCCTCTTTGCCCACCTTGCTCCAGCCGTGTTCCCGTCTCAGGGCCTCCTCCCTGCCAGTGCCTCCTGCTCTCCAGAATGTTCTCCCCTCTGTCTGCATGGCTCCCTGGACCCCAGGCTCAGAGGAGACTCAGCCCAGCCCCACACCCCTTCGCCCCGCTTTCTGCCGGCGGCACTGACCAGGCCCTCACACTGGCGGGTCGAAGTGCTCACCCACGACCCCCAACCTCAGGAGCTCTGCCCACTGCACGCACCGCTGCTTCCGGGCACAGGCTCCGCGGGAGAGGCAGCCGCTGCTCCCTGGCCCCGTGCGACCCCTCACCACCGACGGCCTCCCCCCTGGCAGCCTCGCCCCGCTTTTCCCGCGCTGCCCGCCCTGCAAAGGTCCCTCCGTGCAGCCAGGTGCCTGCTCGCCTGGCCAGCGGCCTATTGGCTGGAGCGTCATCTCACACCCTAAAAGGCCATGGGTTTGACCCCGGGTGGGGGGTGCAGGGAAGGCCACCAATGGATGTTTCTCTCTCACACCCATGTTCCTCCCTCCCACTCTCTTTCCAGAAAGTATGTCCTGGGCGACGAGTCACAGAAAATAAGGAAGCACACCAGGCGCCTTGGTCTAGAGCTGTGGTCCGCAAACTGCGGCTCGGAGCCGCCTGCGGCTCTTTGGCCCCTTGACTGTGGCTCTTCCACAAAACACCACGTGGGGGCGCCCACATACAGTGCGATTAAAACTTCGTGGCCCGTGCGCAGAAGTCGGGTTCCAGCTCTCAAAAGAAATGTCAGTCGTTGTGGATATTTGGCTCTGTTGACTAATGAGTTTGCCGACCACTGCCCTAGAGCTACACGCCCCACAGCCCGCCAGGGGGCGCTGAGAGGATGGGGCTCGCACCCGGGGTGCTGTGGTCCTCCCAGAGCTGGGTGTCCAGGTAACGCAGCTTCCGGAACAAGGCACCCCTGTCTGCCCTACGTCTGCGTGTGCAACGGTGGCCCCGGGTGGGCGAGGCCTTGGCCCTGCTCGTGGGCCCCCAGGTGGCCTCTGCCAGGCCTGAGGGGGCAGAACATGGGGCGCCCAGGGGCCTCACGCAGCCTCGGCCCCGCAGCTGCCCACGGCCCACTCGGCCCACGCCGGGGCCGCCGCCTCGGGGGACCCCGTGCCACCCCTCCCCCCCTGCGGTCGCCACATGAGGGGAAACCCCGAGGATGCATAGAGGACACTGGGCCCGCCCGTCATGTGCCCGCATGGACCAATCAAGGCCGGCAATGGGCGCTGGTCACATGTACCAAATAGTTCAATCACAAGTGGCATAGGCAGCCACTGGTCATGTGACCTGCGAGGACCAATCAGAACTGGCAAAGGAATGCCCATCCATGATTGGCCCAGAAGGGTGGCTTTTGGCCAATCCCCGGGGCCAGGAGGCGGGACATCAGCCAACACCTGAAACTGTGGCTCCGCTGGTGCAGGTTCGGGGCCCCGCCCCCCGCCCCCATCGTGGTCCCCGCGGCCACGGGAAGGGGGTCCATGAGCCGGGTCCCCCGACCCTTGTCCCCACGCCCATCCCAGTGGCCCGGGCAGGGCCTGGGCGCGGCGCCGCTTCGCCCTGGGCGCGTGGAGCTCCCGCCCGGGCTGTGCGGTCTGGGCCCCGCGGCCAGGCCGCTCGCTCCGAGCACCAGCCCCGGGCCGCCGCGGTCCATCTGCCGACCTGCCCCCCTTCCTCCCGCCCCGCCTCCCCGTCCGGCCCTCCCGCCCGGTGACGCCCGTGGAGCAGGGCCGGTCAGTCCCGGCGGGCGGTCAGCTGGCCGGAAGGGCCACCTCCCTGTCACTGCATCGCCTCGCGTGGGCTCTGCCCGGCCCAGCACGGCCTCCGCCTGCGACGCTGGGTCCCCGCGGAATGCTTCCAGGGCACGTGTTGGGGGTCAGGGCCGCATCCCTCCCGGCCCAGCGGTGCTCCTCGACGGAGCCCTGGGCTGGCGCCCCCTGCCGGCTGCCGGCAGCAGTGCCGCCACAGCCCTGTCCGCTGGCCCGGAGGAGCTGCGCTCACAGGCAGCGCTGCGGGCCTTGCGGCCGCTCGGAGCTGGGCCCCTCAGTGCGGGCCGGGAAAGGCCTCCAAAAAGACTGTGGGAAACGGGGCCGAGGCTCAGGGGCTGAGCGCTGACCTAGGAACCAGGAGGCCAGGGCACAGGCCGGCTGGCGGCTTGAGACCTGTGGGAGGCGGGCAGGAGGCAGCCGATCAGCGATTCTCTCATCCTTGATGGTTCTCTCTCTTTCCGCTTCCTTCCTCTCTGAAATCAGTAATGAAAGATCGATTTAAATTAAAGAGAACAAACGTGGGGTCCAGGCACAGGAAACAGCCACATCGCAGCGCAGGGACGTGTTCGCTGCTTCTCTCCGACCCCGGAAGCAGTTCCTTTAAGTGAGAGTGTAGCCTGGCCGCGGGCTCCGCGGTAAGAGCCGCCCTGAGCGCCGAGGGGTCAAAGGTTGGATGCCTGGTCCCAGCTGGGTACATGCAAGACGCAACCAGTCGGTGTCTCTCACACACTGATGTCTCCCTCTCCTTCCCTCCCTTCCTTCCACTCTAAAAACCAATGGGGGCTCCTCAGGTGAGGCTTAACAACACGTATTTGAAATGTTAGTTGTATTATTCATTGATATCCAAATATACAAATAGCACACCCCGCCACTGGCGGGCGCCTAAACAAAGGGCGCTTTCTGGGCACACAGCGTGCGTTCCCGGAGGCGCCACAACAGCACGTGCTGCGGGAGTGGGGGAGACAGGGCGTGAGGTGGGGGTCCCTGGCCTGACAGCTCCCCAGGGTCCAGCCTCACACCCCACCCCCTCCCCAGGCAGGAAGGAGAGGGGAGGACCATGTCGGCCGTGCCTCCCCCTTTGTCAGAGAAGCAGCACTTCCCCAGGGATGTCTACAAGGTCATGGCCACAGCGGTGTCTGTGAGCACCCCTCGCCCCAGCAGCGGCGGCCTTGGGAAGGGGGGGCGGTGAGCTGGGCACGTGCTGCCAGGAGCAGAGCTGGGCTGTGAGGCAGAGGGGAAGGGGGCTGTGAGGCAGAGGGGAAGGGGGCTGGGGGCAGGGAGGGTGGGGGCTGAGGAGGCAGAGGGGAAGGGGGCTGAGGAGGCAGAGGGGAAGGGGGCTGAGGAGGCAGAGGGGAAGGGGGCTGAGGAGGCAGAGGGGAAGGGGGCTGAGGAGGCAGAGGGGATGGGGGCTGAGGAGGCAGAGGGGATGGGGGCTGGGGGCAGGGACGGTGGGGGCTGAGGAGGCAGAGGGGAAGGGGGGTGAGGAGGCAGAGGGGATGGGGACTGAGGAGGCAGAGGGGATGGGGGCTGAGGAGGCAGAGGGGAAGGGGGGTGAGGAGGCAGAGGGGATGGGGGCTGGGGGCAGGGACGGTGGGGGCTGGGGGCAGAGGGGATGGGGGCTGAGGAGGCAGAGGGGAAGGGGGCTGAGGAGGCAGAGGGGATGGGGGCCGAGGGCAGGGAGGGGGGGGGGTCACCAGTGTCCAGCGGTGTCCTTGCTGCTCAGTTCAAGGTGCAGGTCCTTCAGTGCTGCGTGACCCTCCACTCTCACCCCCCGACCCTGACACAGCCCGCCCCCAGCCCAGGTGACTACTGTCCACTTCCTGTGTCATGTGCTGTTCTGGCCGTTCATGTCAGCGAACCCTCCCCGTGGCCTCGGGGCATCCCTCCCCCGGCTCAGCAGTGCTCACGTGACGGAGCCCTGGGCTGGCGCCCCTGCTGGTTGCCATGAGCAGTGCTGCTGTGCGCACCACAGCGTTCTCCGGGCCGGCCACAGGGAGCTCTGCTCACTTTGCCCCCGAGGCCGTCCCTGACCAGCAGCAGGCGAGGCCCAGCTGGAGCCCAGCGGAGGCGCCATCCCCGCAGCTGCACCTCCGGGGGCTGGCTGAGGGGGAACGTGCGGCCAGGCCTTCCTCTGGCGCTCCCTGTGCCCAGAGGAGAGGAACCCCACTGCCTGGGCCGCCCGGAGCGGACTGCAGGGCCACTGCCCGGAGCTGGGAAGTGGACAGTGCGCCCACCCCAAGCGGAACTTGGACCGAAAAGTGCCAAAGCGAATCAGCAGCAAGTGGATCAAAAAAAGTTTATTTTGAATATTTAATTTAAAAAATCATACCTATGAGGTGAGCTACAGAAATTCAGACACAGCTGCACGGAGACCCCCGGCGGTGGAGCGGGAGCTGGGAGCCCGGAGGAAAGCCACCGGCCGGCCGCCCACCCGCGCTCCGACAGGCGGCGCTCGGGGGTCCGGTCAGCGCCTCCCGTTCCACTGTCGCTCAGGCCGGTGCTTTGGCAAACAGCTCGCCGCCCTCCCGGGGGCGCTCCCGCACAGCGGCCACGTGCCATGCCGCCAGCCAGGGCAGCGTCCAGGCCTGGCCGTCCCGGGGCCGAGCTGGGGCCGGAGGGCAGTCTCTCAGGGGTGTTAGGAGGCGGGACGAGGGCGGGACGGAGACATGGGCAGACGGGACTTCACACACGCGTGTGAGGCTGAAGCTCCGGTGCCTCCAGAGCTTCCCTCCGTCCGGGGCGTCCCGGGCCCTCCCTCCTGGGCCGGGCTCCTGCCTGACCCCAGGGCGGCGGCGGCGAGCAGGAAGGAAGGAAGGTTCCGTTTGCGCTGGGGTCTCCCGTGACCAGGGGGCCAGGCCAGCACGCACTCAGAGGGACTAGGGTCCCCACGTGGCTCCACGTGGCAGCAATTTGGCAGAAGAAATCACCTCAGATGCATCAAACCACCCCAGTCCTCCCAGGAACATGATTACAATATATTAGCAGATTCTGTGGCATAAACATTTCAAAGCGTCGGCGGAGATATTAAAAGAAAAGCAGCGTGGAGCCCCCCGCCCGGACCCGAGGGGCGGCGGCGGCGCCTACGGCCGCAGCTCCACGTAGTTGGCCGGGAAGAGCCCGTACCGGCCCTTGCACAGCCCGCGCCACCAGCCGTCATCGATCATCTCGATGTTGGTGATGATGTCGTCCGGGTCGAAGGAGATCTCGTCATCGCCCGCTGGGGAGAGAGGCCGTGGGTCTCAGCGCCCTGCCACGGAGGAGGCTGCCCAGTGTGTGTGTGTGTGTGTGTGTGTGTGTGTCCCGCCCCGGGGGCTGGGGTCATGGGGGGGCAGGGGCACCCAGGCAACTGTAGCTTCAGAGCCCGATGTGGGGAAACGGAAGGGTGTGTGTGCACATGTGTGCATGTGCGTGTTTGGGAAAACTGAAGGGAGTGTGTGTGTACGCATGTGTGTGCATGTCTGTGCGTGCATGTGTGTGTCCACACGGAGAGGTAGGATCTCTGTAACAAGTCATGTAAGAGGGACTGGCTTTTAAGGACAAAGCGGGCCCCTGGAGGCAGGGCGGGGGCGGGAGGCAGGCCGGAGGGGGGCACGGAGGGGGGGGACGGGACGGGCGGGGTGGGGGAGGCAGGCGGGGGGGGGGGGGGTGACGGGACGGGCGGGGGCGGGGGCGGGGCGGGCCCGGGGCGGCCCTCACCGGCCTGGTAGTCGTAGAGGGCGATGGCCGTGATGCCCAGGTCGTTCTCATACTCGTCATAGGTGCTCTCCTCTGGGGAGAGCGGAGCGGAGTGAGCGGGGAGCGCAGAGCGGGCCCTCCCTCCCTCCCCTCCCCGCCTCCCCTTACCCCTCCCACTCGCCCCTCCTCCACCTGCCCCCCTTCCCTCCCCTCCCTACCCCTTCTTCCTCCCCTCCTCCCCTCCCCACCTCCCCCTCCCCCCTCCTCCACCTGCCCCCCTTCCCTCCCCTCCCCACCCCTTTTCCCTCCCCCCCTCCCTTCCCCCCTCCCCCCCAGCAGCCGAACCTCCTGCGTAGTGGCCCGGGGCCTCGGTGGAGTCGTAGACGGCCTCGGGGGCGTAGACCAGGCCCTGCTGGCCGCCGGCCTCCCTGCTGGACACGGGCTCAGGCTCGCTCACGGGGCCTCTGGAGCCGGGTTCGGCCTTCACGGAAATGGCGTCCTGGGGAGCCAATGAGACGTCGCTCTTGCCCACTGGGTCCCCGACTCTGATTTCTCAGTCCGGCGCTGAGAGCAGGCGGGGCCTGAGGGGCAGCTGGGCCGAGGGCCGGTGACCCACACCCAGCACCCGCCCCACACCCAGCCCCCACCCACACCCAGCCCCCACCCACACCCAGCCCCCACCCCACACCCAGCCCCCACCCCACACCCAGCCCCCACCCACACCCAGCACCCGCCCCCACCCAGCACCCGCCCCCACCCAGCACCCGCCCCCACCCAGCACCCGCCCCCACCCAGCACCCACCCACACCCAGCATCCACCCACACCCACACCCAGCATCCACCCCCACCCACCCCCCCGCCCTGGGGCTGGGCCACGGCCTGTCGGAGCCGACGCTGCATCAGGGCCAGGCCGGCCGGGCAGGGGGCGGCTCCCCTGTAGCCCAGACTTCCTGGGCCACCCAATCGGCTGAGGGGAGTCAGGGAAGGACCGGCGAGCTGGGGTCCGTGACCGGGGCCCTCGGAGCCCCTGAACTCCACGCTGTGGTCGGCGATCTGACCAGGGTCCCCGAGGACACCGTGCGGTCAGAGGAGGGGCCTGGGGAGCCGGTGAGAGCCGGCCAGGCCCGGCTTTGGAAGGAAGGTGACCGGTGTGGCTCGGACCTGAGCCCCTGAGGCGGCGACGGAAAGAGGGCGCCACCTCCTGTCGGACCCTGGAGCCACTCAAGGGTTCCGGGTCAAGTGCCTGGGGCACATCCCTGGACGGGGAGCATGTGGGGCAGAGAGGGACCCGCTCACGGAAAGGGCCCGTGTGAGGTGCCGAGGCCTGGGCCTTGCCCCGCCCCGTCCCTCGGGCTCCCAACCCAGCGTCAGTCCCCGGGCCTCTAGGCCGGCCGAGTGGCGGCGGAGACAGGAGCGCGCCCCTGGGGACAGAGGAGGGGGCCCCCTGCGGGGAGGGGAGGCAGCCGCTGTCCCCAGCAACAGGGCCCGGCTGGGGTCAGGCATCTGCGGGACGGACACCGACCTCGTAGACCGGGCTGGAGGGCGGCCTCTCGGGAGCCGGCTGGGGGGCGGGGGAGGCGGGCGGGCTCTGCCTCTGGGCGCGGGCTCGCTCCTGCAACCGAGGGGCAGGGGCGCGTCAGAGCGCCTGGTCCCGAGGTCACCCGGGAGCCAGACACACACACACACACACACACACACACACACCCTCACACACGCACGCACACACACACACACACACACACCCTCACACACACACACACACACGCACACACACACACCCCCGGGAAGAGCAGGGTTAGGAGCGAGGCTGCCGCGCACAGAGGGCACCGTGTCAGCGAGCCCTCGGGGAGGCCCGCGGCCCAGCCCCCGGCCGCCGGCACAGGAGCCTGTGTCACTGCGGGCAGGGGGGACCGCAGACTCAGACTCGGGGGCTGGGCTCCGGCTGACGCTGCGACGCTGTAAGAGCTGAGACTCTCAGGGACTGTAGAACGGGGTGGATGGCCCTGGCGGGCGTGCTCAGTAGTTAGAGCTCAGCCCATGCACCAAAAGGTTGCTGGCTTGATCAGGTCAAGGGCATGCACCAGGGTTGCAGGCTTGACTCCTGGCCCTTGTCGGGGAGCAGTCTGAGTGGGGGAGGCAACAATTCGATGTGTCTTTTTCACACTGATGTTTCTCTCCCCCGCCTCCCGTTCTCTCTGAAAAGCAATGGGAAAATATCCTCCAGCGAGGATTAAGAGAATTCAGATGGGTGAATGTATTTCCCACGTAACGGGACTGCGGAGGACAGAGGAACGGCCCCAAAGATGCTGACGTCCAACCCCATAGCCTATGCCCACCAGGTCACGTGACAAAAGGGACAGCAGCCAGCGGGGAGGCCCGGCCAGGCCGGGCGTGTCACCAGGGAGGAGGACGCTCGGCGGGGACAGAGGGGGCCGCAGGGGAAGAGGGGCAGGAGCAGCCCGCGGGGCCTCACTCACGTCCAGCTGCCTGCGCGCCGCCTCCTGCTCCTGCCTCTCCTGCGCCATCCTCTGCGCCCGCCGCCGGTCCTCCTGGTCCCGCTCCCTGGCCAGGTTCTCGAAGTTGGCTCTGAGGTCGCTCGTCTTGCTGGTGGCTACAGAGGACGGGGACAGAGGTTCCCCCCGCGTGAGACACGGCCATCGCCCGATGGACAACGTCCGGCACAGGGCCAGTCCCACGGGAACCAGGCGGCCCGAGCCGAGCACAGGGCGGCCCAGCCGGCCGTCACCGCAGGCCGTCCCGACACCCAGACCCGAAGCTCCCCGCCACCGCTTCCTACCGCACACCGAGGGGACCCAGTCCGAGGGGTGCCCTTGAGAGTGTGTGTGTGTGGGGGGGGTGGCTGCGGCGTCCGGAGGAGTCGCGTGTGCGACTGAGCTGCGTGCCGGGCGCACCGACAGCTCGTGCGGGACGGACATGCCCTCCACACGCACACACGGCCTCTCGGGAAGAGCAGCCGGGGTTTGCCTTGGACAGGACACCCGGAGGCCGGCACGCACCCGCTCCCAGGAGCTGCCGGCAGCGCCCCGGCAACGGGCCGCCGAGTGTAGTCCCCGTGGAGGGAGCTCGGCGCTCGGAAGGTCCGCCTCTCAGCCGGGGCTGCCCACACGGGCACGTGGGGCCGCCCTGTGCGGGGGACGCCTCAGGGCACCACGAGGGCCCGCTGGGCACCGGAGGCTCGGGGGCACCTCCCCTTCCTGGGCTCATCGGGGAGCCCAGAGCCGCCTCCCGTGTGTGTGCCGGGAGCTGTGTGTGTGCCCGGGAGCTGTGTGTGTGCCCGGGAGCTGTGTGTGCCCGGGAGTTGTGTGTGTGCCCGGGAGCTGTGTGTGCCGGGAGCTGTGTGTGTGCCCGGGAGCTGTGTGTGCCCGGGAGCTGTGTGCCCGGGAGCTGTGTGTGCCCGGGAGCTGTGTGTGCGGGAGCTGTGTGTGTGCGGGAGCTGTGTGTGCCCGGGAGCTGTGTGTGCCGGGAGCTGTGTGTGTGCCCGGGAGCTGTGTGTGTGCCCGGGAGCTGTGTGTGTGCCCGGGAGCTGCTGTGCCCAGGAGCTGTGTGTGCGGGAGCTGTGTGTGCCGGGAGGTGCTCACACCCCGGAGGCTCCCTGCAGCCCAGCCGCCGCCACGTCCTCCGGCCCCCGCCGCGGCCGGCCCACCTGCTTCCACAGGGACCGTCTTCTGGTAGGTGGACGGCACCTTGGCGACGTCCTCGAAGGTGGAGGCGTTCTACGGCAGGAACGGAGGTCAGAGGGCAGTTCCCACCGTGGAGGTGCCCGCCCTGCGCCCGCCCCACAGCCGCGTGCCCACCGGCTCCAGGTCCGGGTGCAGATCCCCAAACTCCCCGAGGCGCGGGAAGCGTCCCAGACCCACGTGCAGGGCCCTCCCCACGGCAGGCTCCTGGGCGCCACCCGCCTGGCTGCAGCCTCAGCTCCCCAGGGGCTCGCCGCCCCCTGCTCCCCCGGGGCCCGGCCGGCCTCCCCACCCCACTCAAGCCCACGCTCCCCTCCCAGGCCGCCTCCCGTGGCCCCACGTCACCGGCGGCTCCGACCAAAAACCACCTTTCCCCAGACCAGGACCCCCTCACCCCCCCACACTCAGCTAGGGACCCCCTCACACCTCCGGACCTGTCAGCTGCCTCCCAGCAGGTGCCCCCCCGGAAACGCATGCCCCGTGGCACGCAGGGCACAGGTGCCCGGGAACCCCACCCTCGCTGGGCGGGAGACTCACCTTGTCCATGCGGTCCTTCTGCACCCCGTACTTCCCGCCGAACCCCACGGAGTAGTCTGGAAGGGCACACCGGTCAGGGGGCCCAGAGGCAGCCCCAACACCCCGCCGCGACACCCCAACACCCCACCCCGACACCTCACCCCGAGACGAGCCAGGTACACGCTGGACAACAGGCATCTTCACACACACCCACCCACAGGCGGGGGGGGGGGGGGGGGGCGCCTTAGCTGCTAAGGCCGCTGTGCACCAGGCGCCGGGAGCGGGCCTCGCCGGGACTCCCCTGGGTTCGGGATCTCCTAACGGGCCCCACAGCGCAGTCCTGCTCTGGGACCGACACCCCGGGACCGTCTGCCTGGGAACCAGCCTGACACGCACACGGGCCTCAGCCACAGCGGGGGTCGGAGCCGGAGCCACAGTCTCGGCCGGGAGGAGAGCCAGGGCCGGGAGGAGCCCGCCGGCGGCCTCGGGACTCAGCCTGCGCGGCCCCATCGCGCAGCGGGTGGCGCTGTGGACGACGCGGCCACCGCTCCCGCCCCCGGCTTCCTACCCGCCCCCCCTGTGGAGCCGGTTCCACGCGGTGCGCACGGCAGGCCCGGCCCACGCCCGGCGGCCGCACTGCCTCCGGGACGGGCTGTCCCTCAGGAAGCGCGGGGAGGGGTGGCCCTGCACGAACTGCGGCCACCGGGGCGCACGGAACCGGCTGCCCCGCGGGGGCTCCTCCCAGCGCCGCACACGCCGGGGCCGGCCTGAAAGGCAGGAGGACGCGCCGCCAGGCACACGCACCTCTCTGGGAGTCGTGCAGCTCCGGCTTCTCCTGGTGGTCCCAGCCCAGCGCGCACTTGTCCTGCCGGTCGGTCTGCACCCCGAACTTGCCCCCGAAGCCTCGCGTGTAGTCTGCGTGGACAGCGCGGCGTGACTGCCGGAGCGAGGGCGCACGGCCCCGGCCGCCGGGGCTCCTGGGAGGCGGCCGCTGGGCCTCGGGAAGCAGCCCAACCGCAGCAGGTCCGCGGGCGCCGGGCCGGGAGCCGCGGTCCGGCCGGCGTGCGGCGGCCTGGGGGCTGCCTGCACCCACAGGAGCGGCGTCCACCCCGGGGGGCCTGCAGGCTCCCGCTCGGTCCCGCTGCTGCAGGGACAGGCAGGGAAGGGGGCGGGCGGGCGGGCACCTTTCTGGGACTCGTGCTTCTCCGTTTTGCCCTGGTACTCGAAGCCCACGGCGCTCTTGTCCACCTTGTCCTTGTCGATGCCGTACTTGCCGCCGAAGCCTTTGGAGTAATCTGAGGACACGGACACGGTGAGCACGCTCCCCAGACAGCCCCGGAGGCCGGGCAGCGGGTGTGCACAGAGGCAGCGCAGGGCAGGAGGGCCCTGAGCACCCTCCCCAGGGGCAGGCGATGGTGGCTCACTGCACGGCCCCAGCCGCAGCCACGGCGCTGCGCCACCCGCGGGGGCAGGACACCCGAGCACTCACTCCCCTCGTGGGAACAGCTCCTGCCCGCAGACGGGGCACAGGGCACACGATGGGGCGAGCGCCGGGGCTGCTGCGGACCCGGGTGCCCCCACACTGCCTGTGCTCCCCAGGCCCCTGGCCACACTGACCTACGAACCAGGGAGTCCCAGTCCGATTCCCTGTCAGGGCACATGGGACAGGCTCAGTCCCCAGTGTGGGGTGTGCAGGAGGCAGCCAATCAATGAATCTCTCGTCATTGATTTTTCTCTCTCCCTCTCCCTTCCTCCCTGAAACCAATAAAAACATATTTAATGTACATATTTAAAATAAGCATTTAGTTGGAAATGACCTCAATCCTATACCCGAAGAGGACACAGCACACAGACGACGGGATCGGCACACAATGGACGGCCGAGCCGCTGGGGAAGCAGTGAACCTGCTACGCCGGCCGGGACGGCAAAGAGCTGGCAGCACCTCTGCCAGGGCTCAGGGCAACTGCGGGCGGGCCAAGCCGCGGGGGAGGGGCCAGGCCGCGGGGGGAGGGGCCAGGCCGCGGGGGGAGGGGCCAGGCCGCGGGGGGAGGGGCCAGGCCGCGGGGGGAGGGGCCAGGCCATGGGCACAGAGGCCGGAGGTGGACGGGGGCCAGGCCGCGGGGGGAGGGGCCAGGCCATGGGCACAGCGGCCGGAGGTGGACGGGGGCCAGGCCGCGGGGGGAGGGGCCAGGGCGCGGGGGGAGGGGCCAGGCCGCGGGGGGGAGGAGGGGGGCAGGCCATGGGCACAGCGGCCGGAGGTGGACGTGGACGGGGGCCAGGCCGCGGGGGGAGGGGACAGGCCGGGGGGGGGGGCAGGCCATGGGCACAGCGGCCGGAGGTGGACGGCGCACGGTGTGGACGCACCTTTCTGGGACTCGTGCTTCTCCGTCTTGCCCTGGTAGTCGAAGCCCACGGCGCTCTTGTCCACGCGGTCGGCCTGCACGCCGTACTTGCCGCCGAAGCCGCTCGAGTAGTCTGGGGAGACAGGAGCCGATGACAGGGCACCGTCCCTGGCGTGAAGCTAAGTCGGGGTTCGAGTTACCGAGCGGCCGGGCACACACTTTAACGTGCACGAGAGGCCGCCGGTGCTACACGAGACACCGGACGCCAGGGGGCCAGGTCCCTCGGCCAGAAGCCGCCGAGGCCCGGGGGACGTCAGCGTGTGCAGAGGCCCTTCCAGAAGCAGCCCCCCCCCCCCCCCCCCCCCCGGCTGCACTGCCGAGCCCACACCCCGAGCGCGTCCAGGCCAAGTGCTGGGAGGAAGCGACACGCTGCGGCTCTTCGCAATGGCTCTGGGCCCGGCCGGTGCTGCTCTGGGTGCGAGGGCCGGCCGCACCGAAGGTCTGGGCTTGATTCCTTGCAGCTTCGAGCCCAGGCCGTGTGCGGAAGCCAATGATGTCTCTCACAGCATGCTTCTCCCCCCCCTCACTTGCTAAAAATCAGTGGGAAAAACAGCCTCAGGTGAGGATTAAGCAAAATGAAAGTTAAAAGTAACAAAAATAAAGGCTCTGAGTGAGCCTGACGGAGGAGTGGAGCCCACGCCGTTGGCGGGAGGCGCAGTGGCGTCAGGATGGACCGGGCGGCACTGCCCGGAGCCAGGCAGGCGCCCTGGGGCCTGCGCTCAGAGGGCTCAGAGCCGCACAGGAGGGCACGTGGCGGCCCCCCCCCCCCCCCCGAGAGGCCACCAGCCTCCGGCTTACCTTTCTGGGAGGCGTGCTTCTCCGTCTTGCCCTGGTACTCAAAGCCCACGGCCGACTGCGGGGCGAGGGAGAGGGAAAGCATTTTAAACGTCTCCAACAGCCACAGTCCGTACTCGACGCTTCATCACACAAGCCACGGTGTTTGAACGGGGATCCCCTGAGCCAGCGGCAGGCCGAATGCCCGAAGCTGGTGCCTGAACCCGCACCCACACAGCGCTGCCCGGCTGCCGCTGCCCGGCTGCCGCTGCCCGGCCTGCCGCTGCCCGGCTGCCGCTGCCCGGCTGCCGCTGCCTGGCCTGCCGCTGCCCGGCTGCCGCTGCCTGGCCTGCCGCTGCCCGGCTGCCGCTGCCCGGCTGCCGCTGCCCGGCTGCCGCTGCCCGGCTGCCGCTGCCCGGCCTGCCGCTGCCCGGCCGCCGCTGCCCGGCCGGGGCACTCGCGGCTCCACCCCCGGGAGAGGCCCCGCCAGACTCGCTTCTCAGGGAGCTGTGCCCAGAGCAGCGCCAACACTGACCCCGGGCACGGGCGCCCCTCGAACAGCCAGGAGACAGGGACTAGCTCCCATCCCTCCCCTCCACCCCTCATCGGTGACAGACCCACTCCCGCTCCAAACCCAGGCTCTCCAGCGCCGGGCAGTGAAATGGCTGACCGAGCACGGCGCCCTCCGCAGGGAGGGCAGAAACGGCCGCGGGCACGTTCCGGGCAGATCTAAGGGGCCCGGCGCCCCTGGTCCGGGGGGAGGGGGCAGACGCAATGCAGGGTTTCTGCACCGAGGAGGCGAGCTGCCCCGCCTCTGACCCTGCTCCCCCAGACCAGCCGGGGGCCCCTCCCGGGCACCGCACAGGCCCCGGGGCGGACCTGCCCCCGACAACACTCACCTGGTCAACCCGGTCCACCTGGACGCCGAACTTGCCCCCGAACCCGCGGACGGAGTCGACCTGCGAGCAGTGCTTGGAGAGCTTCGCCTGGTACTCGTGGCCGACGGCTGACTGCGGAGGAGGGCAGCTCAGGGCCCCGTGTGGCCGCCGCCCCGTTCTAGGTGGGGCCCGCCTTCTACGTGGCCCCCGCCCCGTTCTGGGTGGGGCCGCCGCTGGCGTGGGGGTTTCTCACTGAAACACCCTGACGGGAGGCCAGGGCAGGGCGTGCGGGGCCCGGGGTCGGACGGGCGGAGGCGTGGTCCATCCCGCGTGTGCACACGGCGCCCCGGGCTGAGGAGCACCCGCCGCTCACACCTTCTCCACGCTCCCCTCTCACTCGGCCCCAGAGGGGCTTATCTGTGAACACACAGACTGCTCCCCCTTTCCCGGCTGGGCACCGAGACACCCGAGTGACAGGCGCCCGCCCCATGTCCCTGTCTCTTTCCTGCACCCGGGCTAATCCGGACATGGTTTGGGCCCACAGCCGTATCTGCTCTGCGGTGACAGCGTGCACTGGGACACAGCTGGTGCGGAACCCGAGCCGGGCACGGGGACAGGCGTGGAATTACAGAGCAGAACCCGACACCGCCAGCCTCCTTCCTCAGGGACAGGCGCCCTCCGGTCAGCGCGGCTCACGCTGCCCAGGCCGGCCACCTCCACCGGGACCAGCAAACAGAAAGAGCTGCCCGACGGGGGAGCCCTGTCCTCTCAGGGACGCCCCTCTGAGCTGCCCCCCGCCCAGCACTGTCCTGGCCGAAGGTTCCCGGGCACTGTGGGCACCAGGACTGGCAGGGCCTGCCCACGGCTCTCACGGGGAGCACCCCCCAGCGACCTCACGCCCAGGCAGGCGCTCTCGGAAGGCCACTGAGTGCGCGAAGGCGCCAGCACTGTCGCCGGGACGTGACCGAGGCCCGGGGGCTGGGCTGTCTCTGTCCCCGCCTCCCATGTGGCACGAAGGGGCGGGGTGACGCCAGCTCCTGAGCCCACTCCTGTCCGTCCCGGAGCTGGGCCTCCCTGCCCGCAGGGCGGGGAGGGATCAGGTGTGACGGCCCTGCCGGCCGGGCCCGGCACTCACCTTGTCCATCCTGTCCTGCTCCACGCCGAACTTGCCGCCGTAGCCGTGCGAGGCCCTGGGGCCCGTGGCCAGCTCCTTCTCCTTGAGGCTGCGGTGCTCCTGGTACACGTTCTCCCGCAGCTTGTGGATGCTGCGGGCAGCGCAAGGGAGTCGGACCGCGGGCACGGCTCCTCGGACACCGGCCAGACAGCGCCCGGGTGTCCACCCGCCCCTCTGGTCCTGCCGGCCGCGGGCAGCTCCCAGGCCCGGGCGAGGCCTCTGGGGAACAGAACTGGGCCACACGGCGCTCCCCACGCGGCGGGTGCCCTGTCACACGGGCGGCGCCCTCGCCTCGGAGGCGGCCGTCAGACTCCCGGGGGCCCTGGGGCCGCGCTGGGAGCCCAGGGAGCGGCTGACCGTCCGACCCTGCTCTGCCGCGCCCGCGGGCGCAGTGAGGGCGCGCAGGGCCCCGGTCTAACGGCCGCTGGTTACCGGACCGCCAGGGGCGGAGCAGCTGTCCCACCAGGAGGCCCGAGAGGCGCAGCCACCACCCCCAGGGCCGTTCTGCCAGGGGGACACCACGCCCACACCTGCCCACACCTGCCCACCTCCCCCACTGAATAACAGTCCACGGGTGACCAAGACACAGCAGCGCCCCTAAAACCCAGGAGGCCCCACACCCAGGGCTGCCCCCGCCCACGGCCCTGAGTTCCAGCCAACCCAACAGGCCTGCACGCTCGGGCACAGAACGGACCAGGACGGGCGGCTGAACCCTCAGAGCCCCGCCTACCCCCTGCCGTGGCTGGCACCGCGCCCGCTCGCCCACACCCAGGTCCGGCGCCTCCTGCCTGCCCGGCCCCACATGGGGAAGGGGCTCCCGGCCGGGGTGGCGAGGGTCCAGGAGGGGACCGTGTCAGAGCCGCCAGACACTCCTCCCGGGGGCGCTGTGGGGCTCTTACTTGATGTGCTCCTGGTGCCCGGACCCCTGCACGGTCTTGGCGCCCCATCTCTGCTCCTTCTCACTGACGTCGTTCTGAAAGGAAAGGGTGGTGAGCCCCGGGCGCGGCTCTCGGACAGACAGGCCAAGGGGCTCCCAGACCAAAGCCTCAGAGCCCGCAGGGACAGCAAAGCAGGCGCAGCGGGGACTCACCTCGAAATCGGGGTCGGTTTCCCAGTCGTCGGCACCGCCGTCGACCTGACTGACGGACACGGCGTGGCCTGCCGAAGCCTTCCACATCTGCGGGCAGAGCGGGTCAGCCCGGCACCGCCGAGGCCCACCCCGGCCCTGCCATGGCCCAAAGCAGCCACCCCGGCCCTGACCCTCCGGAGGACCAGAGGGCCCTCGTCACCCCTGCGCCTGAACTGGTGGCCACAGAGTGACACCAAGGGCACGACCACGGCCACCACGGCTCCAGCGGCGTGGGAACATTCCAGAAGGGTCTGGCTTCAGACCGAGTGAGAAACCTTTCTGGAAAGTAAGAGCCATGTGAGCACTTCCTTCCTTTATCGGAAATCCAGATCTGGCCCGGCCGGCATGACTTCGGTGGCTGAGCGCTGACCTGAGTCAGGAGGTCACGGCTCGATTCCCGGTCAGGGCACAGGCCCGGGTGTGGCTCCATCCCCAGTGGGGGGCGTGCAGGAGGCAGCCGGTCCATGATGCTCTCTCATCACTGATGTTTCCCTCCCTCTCCCTCTCCCTTCCTTTCTGACATCCATACAAACGTATTAAAAGTAAAAATTACAGCCGGGACCGGTTTGGCTCAATGGATAGAGCGTTGGATTGGGGACTGAAGGGTCCCGGGTTCGATTCTGGTCAAGGGCATGTACCTTGGTTGCGGGCATATCCCCAGTAGGGGGTGTGCAAGAAGCAGCTGATCGATGACTCTCTCTCCTTGATGTTTCTAACTCTCTCTCTCTCCCTTCCTCTTTGTACAAAAATCAATAAAATATATATATATTTTTAAAAAATTACAAAGTGAAGCAGCAGCTGCTGAGGGCCACGTCTGCCCGCTGTGTGTCTCCCAGGGGCGCGCACCTGCAGCCGGCGGCTCCCACCCGCGGTTCCCACCGCTGAGGGCCCGGCCAGACCAAGGGCCAGTCTCTGCCGAAAGCAGGAGGCCGCTGCCCGAGGCAAAGGGGAGGGCAGCCGCTCTCCTCAGGCTTCGCAGGCCGCCAGGCCCGGAGCAGGGTGGCTGGGGCAGCCTCCCGGGGCCAGGAGCAGGGCTCAGGCTCTGTGCCTTCCAGGGGCGGGAAGAGGCACCTGGCTCCTCCTCTCCCCAGGACCCCGCAACCCCCCTTCCTCACCAGGGGCTTCACTGGGAACTTAGCTCTCTTTGTCAAACAGGGAATTCTGGAAAGGACTGTCCGACCTCAGCGTCCTGGAGGGGTCCTCCCCCCGCCCCCGCCAGGGGCCGGCCTGACTGCACAAGCACCTTTCCTCCGGGGAGCGGGCGGCTGCTCAGAGCTGTGTGCGGCGGCGGATCCGGCGGCAGTTCCCGGGCATCCGGCGAGGAGACGCCTGCGGAGGTTAGGGGACGGTGTCCCGCTGCCCCAGCCTCCGGCCAACCCGCCCCCGCCCCCGCCCCGCGGCGGTTTCCCACGGACCCAGCGCAGGACGAGCCTGCGTCTCCTCACTCCGCTCTCTGGGGAACCGAGGAGGCGGCTTGCACAGCTGTGACCGCCTCCGCAGACCCACACGCCCGCCTCCCGGCAGCACCCGGCCTGCTGTCACCCAGGGCCACCGTCACCCAGGGCCACACGCCCGCCCACCGTCACCCAGGAGCCACCGTCACCCAGGGCCACCGTCACCCAGGGCCACACGCCCGCCCACCGTCACCCAGGGCCACCGTCACCCAGGGCCACACGCCCGCCCACCGTCACCCAGGGGCCTGCCCGCCGTCACCCAGGGCCACCGTCACCCAGGGGCCGGCCCTCACCCAGGGGCCCGCCGTCACCCAGGGGGTGTCCACGTCCCGTCCACCCACACCCACGGCAGCACAGCCCGTCGCTGCGAGCTTGGGGACCCTGAGGGAGAGCACTCCCCGAGGGGGTCTACGTGGCGGAGACCCCGGCGGCATGACCGCTCCGGGGATGCAGCAGGGGGCGACTCGGGGCGCAGAGCGCTGCCGCACCCCGTGCCGGATCTGGTTCCTGCACCAGACAAGGCGCCGGCTCCCCAGCCCGACCACAGAGCAGATGCAGGAAATCCCGCCAGACACGAGCTGGCGTGGACTGGCCACTGCAGGGGTGGCCCTGCTGGCCGTCCGCCCCGTCCGCCCCGCCTCTTCCTCCCCAGCCCCCTCTGAGACCCTCAGTGACCGCGGCCACCTACCATCACCCAGGAGCCGGGTGACAGGCTCAGCTCTACCATCCGTTACCTTCTCAACACTTTAAACTTAAAAATAAAAACACAATAGCTGCTAGGAAAAGGGAAACCCTGGGTGCTCCTTGGACCCCTACTGATCACACCACCCACAACTCACGCCCACGTGGAGCTCACTGTCCGGGCTCGGACTGGTCCACTCTCACAGGCAAACACGGGCCTGGGTCCCCACAGCCTCCGCTCGGGCACGTAAGACGGCGGGTGCTCCGTGTTATTTGGCTACAGAAAGCAGTGACGTCCTGACACACGCTACAACACGGATGACTTAAAAACATGCGTGTGAGGAGCAAAGCCAGACGCAAGAGGCTGTTCCACATCCCACAGCCGCGAAGGCTCAGAACGGGGCGTCTGCAGAGACCAAGGCGGCTCGCCTCCCCTGGGGCCGTGGGGGCGGCTGTCACGGGGTCTGAGGTGACGACGTGACCGCCAGTGGACTGTGGGTGCTTGGACAACTGCGGCTGGGGCAACACTAGCGCACTGGACCCTAAGTGGGGGGTACATGGCATGGGATCGTATCTCCAGGTTGCCACCAAAAAGCAGCTCAGAAAGAATCCTCGCCCACCGTTAATTCATGAACGGCACACCGTCCTGGCGCCGGCACAGGCACAAACTAAGAGGCAGCAAGTGAGTGAGGCCGCCCGCAGTCCTACAAGCAGGGTCCCCTCCCCGTCCCCTGTGGAGAGCCGCTTCCATTCACCTCACTACGCAGAGGAGCAGACACCAGAGCCGTCACCGCAGACACCCCAGCCCCACGGCCACCGCAGGGCCGTCCCCAGCCCCAGGGCCACCGCAGGGCCGTCCCCAGCCCCACGGCCACCGCAGGGCCATCCCTAGCCCCACGGCCACCGCAGGGCCGTCCCCAGCCCCACGGCCACCGCAGGGCCGTCCCCAGCTGCACTCAGAGGACTCCCTCCCCCGCTGCCTCCAGGACATTCACTCCGTTTCCTCAAATACCAGCCTCAGAGGGCACCTGGCCTGCAGGACACCTGGCCACAGGACACCTGGCCACAGAGGACACCTGGCCACAGGACACCTGGCCACAGAGCAGCCCCGAGAGGGACTCCAGCCGCCCCAGGACACTGGGAACTGCAACCCGGCTCACTCGCTCGGCCTCTGAGCCACTACCCATGGCTGGGACCCAAGGCCCGAGTCTCGGTCCGGCCACGTGAGCTATGCAGGCGCCGGCCCGCGCCGGGCGGTCAGAGCAGCGTCCCCACAGGCCAAGGGGCGGTCTGGGCCGGTCAGCGCCGCACAAGAAGCAACAATGAAGCGCCGACCAGCTGAACAACTGATGTTTCTCTTTCACCGCCCCCCCCAAAAAAACACACCAACAAACGTCTTAAAGATGCTTCCCCTAAGTCACCAAAACCTTCCCGAGTCCCCGTCACTGGACCAAGCCCCAAACCCTGGGCCGGGCCGCTCCGGAGCCGCCTCTGGGCTCGGCCGCGGGCGAGCTTCCCGGCAGGACGGGCGCCGCGCCGGTGACTCACGGTCCGCCCGAGTGCGGCGGGGAGGCCCGGCCACAGCCCTGCCGGCCGGCTGCCCGGCTGCCCGTGCTGGGGCGGCGGGGCCTGGCGGGCCGGCCGGTCAGCCCGGGGCCAAGAGGCGCTGCGGGATGGAATCCGCCGAGGCCTCCCCGGGCCCCTCCGCACAGGCGCGCCCGCCGCGACACCGAGGCGATCGGAACCCAAAACCCGAAAGCCCTTCCGGCGGCCCCTCCCGCCCCGCCCCTAAGCCCCGGGTCCTGGGCCCGGGTCCGAGCCTCCTCCTCCGAGGGCCCTCCCTACCTCCACCGCCTCGGACCCGCGGCTCCTTCCCCTCAGACCCCGGGGCCCGATCCCGGCTTCCCCGCCCCCGGCCTCCCCTCCCCCCTGCAGCCCCGCCCCCTTCCCCCGCCCGCCCCCTCCACCGGCCCCCGGCCCCCCCTCTGGCCCCGGTCCCCGCACCCCGCCCCCTCCCCTTCCCCCTCCCCCTCCCCTGCCCCCCTCCGGCCTCGGCCCCCCCTCCCCTTCCCCCTCCCCCTCCCCTGCCCCCCTCCGGCCCGGGAAGCCTCGCCCCCCCCCCGGCCTCCCCTCCCTCCCCCCTCCGGCCCCGGCCCCACGCCCCCTCCCCTTTCCCCCGCCCCTCCCCCTCCCCTGCCCCCCTCCGCCGGGGAAGCCTCCCCCCCCCCCCCCCCGCGCCCGAAACCGCGGGCGGAAGGGCGGCGAGACCGCGGCGGCCGCAGCTTCCTTCCCGTTTCGGGGCCGCGGCGCCCGGGCCGGAGGGGGCCCGGGGGACCAGCGCCCCGCGGAGGCCGCGCTCCTCACCGCCAGGCTCGGTCCGCGCGTCCCGCTCCCGCCGCGTCCGTCCGGCTCCGGCCGCCCCACTTCCGGCTCCGCGGCGGGAGGCGGGGGCGGGCCGCATCCGGGTCCCGGGAAGCCCCGCCCGCCGCCGGCGCCGCCGGAACCGGAGAGGCGCCCCCTCCCCGCAGCCCGGGCCGCGGCCGCCGCCGGGACCTGGGTCCGGGCTCCGGCCCTGCGCCCAGAGAGCGCCGTGCCACCCATTCCCGTCCCATCCCACCCATCCCATCCCGTCCACCCCAGCCCCCCATCCCATCCCCCCCTCCGACCCATCCCCCTCCCACCCATCCGCCCTCCGATCCATCCCCATCCCATCCATCCCCCCTCCATCCCATCCCCCCTCCCACCCATCCCATCCCGTCCACCCCAGCCCCCCATCCATCCATTCCCCCTCCGATCCATCCCCCCTCCGATCCATCCCCCCTCCGATCCATCCCCCCTCTGACCCATCCCATCCCGTCCATCCCCAGCCCCCCATCCCATCCCCCCCTCCGACCCATTCCCATCCCATCCATC